ACTGGTTTTGTTCCCACCCCAGCACCTAATCCCTAGTCCTCCGAGCCCTGTGTGGTTCCTGTGGGGTCATTTAGCTTCCCCACAGGCAGCCTTCGTTGGCTCAGAAGAATGCACAAACTGGTCACTGGGTAGCCTTGACCTGAATAAAGAAAGGCTGGGAAGCCTGTGTTTGGTTTGCTGGAGGACTCTAGGTAGGTCTCCAATGCTTCCCTTTGAAAAAATGGGCTTCCTGACTGCCCCTGTCTCACAGGGTTTAAGTGAGCAGGAAGAGAGTTGAACACCTTATCAGTGTCTAGAAGACACTCCTCACGTTAAAAGATGAGGAATGAAAAGATCAGAGAGTCAAAACAGCATGACTGAGAACACACAACCGATGAATGAAGGCTTTGAACCTCAGTGTGTCTGACTTTACCCGCCCCTGTGAATGGGCAGGAGGAATTTCTTAAGTGAATGGCTATTATTGAGATCATATCATTTGTTCAAAGTTAAAAGGAGCAGTGAAGGTGGGACAGAAGTGCAGGAGGCACTCCTAGGTAAGAGTTCTCCATGCTGCTCTCTGACCTGCTTTCCAGAGAGCTGAGCCACCAAGTACAAGAAGAAACTGGATGCTGGCCTCTCCCAGTAGAGGCTCCAGACCCCTGCCCCTTTACTGCAACGTGTGTGTGTGTGTGTGTGTGTGTGTGTGTGTGTATGCGCGCGCGCGTGCGTGCACATGTGTGAGTACACAAGTGCATTCAAACATCCCTTCTCTCCAGTAGCATTCCTGGGGTGGAGGAGGTGGTTGGGCCTGGGGGCCTTGTGCTAAAGTCTCAAAGGCTTGGCTGGGCTGTGTGGAGCAGTGCATTGGGAGAAGAAGACAAAGTCGAGGGTTGATAACTGCTGCAGGACCTGAAGATGCAAGAGCACAACCCTCCAAACCAAGAGGATGTTCTTGGGCTCAGGGATTCATTTCTGTGAGAGGCTTGGGAAATATACAAATGCAATCACTCTTGAGTGTATGTTTAATGAACTGTCAATGTTTTGGGAAATGATTGCAAATTACATGTAAAAGGAGACAATTCAGAAAAAAAAAAAAAAAAAAAAAAAAAAAAAAAAAGAGACAATGGTTAAAAATTTCAAGTGCAGATTGCCTCGGAAAGCTAGAATAGATTGGAAGGTCAACCTCCTGGTGGTAGGGGTGAGGTCAACCTATGCTGTCAGGTGTCCTCCAGGCTCAGCTTTACCCAGTGTGTACCATGTGCCAGAGATTTCCCTGAGAATCTCACCACCAATGCCAGGAGTGTGGGCACCACGGTGTCTTTGGGAAGATAGGTGGTTTGGGCTGGCAAGAGTAAAATGACAGTGAAGAAAGCCTGACTGCTTGAGTTCAATCCTGCAACCATGTAAAGGCAAGAGAGAACTGACTCCACAAAGTTGTCCTATGATAGCCATGTGTGCCCCAACCCCTGCCCTCCACACACATAGAGGGATTCTCTACGCAAATGTCTTAGGGTAACTTCCATGAGGGTACAGGAGAAACGGCAGCAGCACTCCCCAGCAAGTAAAGGACACATGCTCTTTTAAATCTCAAGTGGATTGCCACAGCACAGAGCCAAGGACAAAGGGACCTAGTTGAAGTGGAACAAGGATGTGGCATTCCTGCCTTTTTCATGATTCTCAGGGTGGAGCGGAGCCTGTTAGCCCAATCAGAACCCATGTTCATATGTGGGGCTTCATGTTCCACTTGGGAGCCTGCTGATCCAGGGCTCTTTGTGTAGGATGTTGTTGCAGACGCTTGCTCCAGGTGTCCTGCCCTCATCCATGGGCTGAGCTCCAGAACCTGAGTTGTCTAGCACAAAGCTGATTCTGACAGACTTGAGGCATTTAGGCCAATGGGATATCTTGGGCTTTTTCTTCTTGGGTGTTAGAGAAAAGAACCTTGGAGAAGTCCTTAGGAGAAAGGTGAGCATTTTCAAGATCCATTTCTCCCACACTTCCTGTATTACTCTCCTGTTGCCATGATAAAATGCCAGAGAGCAGCAGAGTTAAGGAAGCAGGGTTCATTTTGGCTTACAGTTTGAAGGGACAGTCTGTCACAAGGAAGACACTGCAGGGAAGGTGTGGCATCTGGTCATGTTCATCTACCATCAGGAAGCAGGGACAGGGAGAGATGAATGCTGGCACTCAGCTCCTTGTCTCCTTATTAGTCTGGGAGCCTAGCCCACGGGATGGTGTTGCCAACAGTTAGGACCGATCTCCTCACTTCAATTAACCCAATTTAGAAAATCCCTCATAGACATTACCAGAGAGTCATCTCCTAGAACCTAGGACCTAGATGGTTCTGGATTCTGTCAAACTAACAGTATTGACTATCACATTATCCCCTCTCTAAAACAGGAGGTTAAGAGGTCCTGGCCTAGGAGTCAGGAGGCCCCAGGTCGGCACCGAGCTCCCCATCTGTACAGCCTGTCATGTTTTCTCAGCATCCCCATCTAGACAATTAAATAGCTGGACTACAATGGATTCTCCACAAGGTTTCTTTGGAATGGGCAACAAAGAATCCCAAACCTTCAGAGCCAGGCCATTCCTGGCTCTGTGATAACCCAGACTCTACTTGGTCAAGGCTGGCTGTCCCTCCCACCTCACCCCTGGGCCATCTCTCTCCCCTTCCCACTCTATCTCTTTGGAAAATTCCTTTGCCTGCCTGGCAACTCCAGATAAGCCACATTTTGGGGCATTTATTTATTTATTTATTTATTTATTTATTTATTTATTTATTTTTTACTTCTTTGATAGAATAGCTAAAGTGATTCCACAGGCTGTTTGCTCACCTTTACATGTGGAAACACTAAGATGAAGATGGTTTTGTGAGTGGCAGACCAGCTCTCACAGCAACAGTGTTGCCTTATGCCTCATGGAACTACACTTTCAGGGTTCTCTATTTTTGAGAGGAAGGAGTGTTTTTCTGCCTCGGCTATAAATGTATCACATTTCCTGATGTGTCAGTGTCCCAAGTTGGACCTTTCTGGTCCTCACTGATCTTCAGGAGGGAATAAACCTGGGAGTGATCAGTCCTTCTTAGGCAAAACAGCCAGTGGGATCTTGTTACACTTTCTTTTATTGTGACTAAAGATCCATTGTTGCAGTTTAATGACACCGTTTTATTCACACTGTATTTGTTTTATGATATCCTTCTATTTATAGCAACCTGACATTGCTTTTCCATTTATGGCTGTGGTATAACATATCACAGTTTAAAAACAAACTCGTTTAAGTAAAACAAAATATAAAATAAGTGCTGATTTAAAGAAAGCCATTAAGCAGGCAGCCCTCCCGCTGGGGCCCAGCCAGGTCCATGTTCTGGGGGAGGCAGAAGACTGAGACCTGGAGCTAGAATCACTGTCCCAGCTGAGTGTGAGCTGTACAGCCTGGCTATACTCTTCGTCTAAGTTGGTTCTGGGGGTGGAACTTCGGTTGTCAGGCCTGGTGGCAAGCACCTTTAAACAGTGAGCCATCTTACTGGTCCCCAGCTGGTGCTGTGTTCCCAACACCACTTTGCCTGCTCTTACCATAGATAAATCTTCAAAACTCTCTCCCTCTTGCCAAGCCTGGACCCTCATTCAAGGCTTGATTCTCATTGAGTTTCTGTGGTTGTCTCTTTCTCTGGTCCCAGAAGGCCCATGCCAGCAGTCTTTTATAGCAGCAGCCTTGAGTTCAGAGCCTGTGGGTGTTCTCAGCTAGAGGGGTGGCCTCCCCTTGACCTTGTTTGGGAAAAACTGGAGGGTTGTCTTTATATTGACAGATTCCATACTCACACAAGCCCAGGAATAGCAGAGTCCAGACCTGTTCTCAAAGCTGCGTGCCACTCTGTCCTGGGATTCTCTCTGCACTCTGTGAAGTGGCTCAAAGGACTAGCCCTGAGACCTTAGGCATTTTACTTCTTGGACTGTGAGCACAGAAAAGTCAAGTCTTTCTGTTTGCTTTTCAAAACTCAGCATCCTGACCTCACCAACCTTCACATCTGAGGGGGAGTGTCTGTCCTGAGTGAGATCAGTGGACCACCTCCTCTCTCTCTCTCTCTCCCTCCCTCCCTCCCTCCCTCCCTCCCTCCCTCCCTCCCTCCCTCCCTCCCTCCCTCTCTCTCTCTCTCTCTCTCTCTCTCTCTCTCTCTCTGTGTGTGTGTGTGTGTGTGTCTACACAGGACATTTTAGTGTAGAAGTGTCAAAATAATTGCTGCCAGTGAGGGAACAGGAGTTTTATTCTGAGTCCTCTCATGGCAGTTTCTGTTAAGTTGTGGTTCTTAATCTGCCTGCCTGTGAATTTTGTTTGGGCCTCCGTGTGGCATAGGTTAGATCTCAGTGGAGCCTTGTGCTGGGCAAGGAAGGTGAAAAGAGAGCTTCAGGTCTGGTCCTTAGCAATGCCATGGTTTACAGCTGAGGGGGCTGAGAAGGCTCACCAGGCCAGAGGCAATGAGTCTTAACAGTGCCTGCTGCACAGGCTCCTATCAGGTACTTGCCTGGCAGTGAGTGGGAAACCACGAGGCGACATCGCAATGGAGAATCCAACACCTCAGTCCTGCAGTCACACCCAAGGGTGGTGGTGACATCGAGAAAGCTCCCCAGAAATAAATGCCAGTCCGGCGTGCCACCCTGGCCCTTCTACAGCAATCTCCTAAATTCAAACACGGAGCGAGCTTGGGGAGGAGGCTAGGAATGCAGGGACAATCGGGAAAGCACGACTCCAGAGACCAAGCACTAGGACCTGGTGACAGAGCAGCAGTGTGGAGGCAAGGGCCAGGTTAGCCCCTAGACCGTCAGTACCGCGGCGGCAATAGCGGCGACAGGAGACCGAGGGGCGGAGGCTAGGGCGGAGGGAGCGGGAGGGCGGGCCGGAGGGTGGCGGGAGGTGTGGCCGGCGGCGGTGGCGGGCGAGCGGCTGCAGCTGCCTCTGGCGTCTCAGGGGCTGCAGGCTGCCGGAGGACGCTGCGTTGAGCTATTCCGAAGACCAGCCGCGCCAGGCCTCCCGGCCCCGGCCCCCAGCGGGCGTCGCCGCTCCTTGTTGCTTTGACGCCTAGCCCAGCGCCGCCGTACAGAATTGCCGGCTTCCCGCAAGTTAAGAGCGCACTCTGCGCCCGGGGAAACTTTCCCCCGCGGCCCGGCCTCTGCCAGGTAGGACTCGACCACTGCGCCCCTATGTACCTACTGGCGCAGGGACATTGCGCGCTCCAGGGGAGATCTCAGACCATTGTGGGTCCCAGGACTCTCAGGGAATCGACCACTAAGTTCTGCTGAGACTCCCCCCCCCCGGGGGCGGGGACAGCGCCTCCTCGTGTGACCCCGAGCACGCCCGGGTTCGCGGACTTTGCCCAGGTCAGGTGTAGCCATTCTGCGCCCGCAGATCCTGGGGGCTTAGGTGACAACAGGCGGCAGGTGGGACTCTCGGGTCCGGAGTGTCGGCTGGGGATGGACAGGGAGGAAAGGAGTGCGTCCCGGTGACCCTGAGCTCGGACAGGTCTCGACGGGAGACCTGGAACCCGGCTTGGGCGCGGCGGATTGTCGGGCGTGCTGGGGCACCAAGCGCGCGTCGCCTTAGTGGGACCCTGGTGGCCGGCCAGGAGAGCGCGCCTGGATTTGCTTCCGCACCCAGGCTATCATTCCCTGCGTGGTAAGGTGTGCACTGGGTGGATGCGGAGACCTAGGAGGCTGCCTGGCGGGTCCTGGGCGAGTGTGGGGTGTGGTGGCCGCGGGTTCCCAGTGTGGCTGGCCGCGGTGGGCGCGCGCGGGATCAGGGTCCTGCTTGCGCTGGGAGAGTTGCCTCGCTAGGGGGAGCACTTCCTTGGCCCGATCGGTTTCCCAGACTAGCCCAGGATCTTCACAGAGACTGCAAATGCAGCTCCACAGATGTTACCACTGCAATGCTCGCGGGGTCTGTCTGGAGGAGTGCCCCACCTTGCCCCAGCTAATCGGGTGGAGGGACCCGCTATGAGACTGGGGTGCCTCGGCAATGGCCAGATGGATGGTTTTTCATGGGCTGCTGGCAAGGATGAGTGAACAATTTAACCCCAGAAAAACAAAAACAAAAGAAACTTTACATGGACAGCAAGCTGGCATGGAAACAATGGGACACAACTGGTTGGGGTTTACTTGAAGTTATTGAAAGGCAACTCTTTTTGTCAAAGTGGCTCCCTTTGTCCTGGTCCTGGTAGATCTCTGGGCGTGGTGGGCAGGAGTCATCCTTTTTCTGGGCACAGGTACATTGATTGGGTGGGTGATTGGGGTTCTGTAGGAATTTCTATAGTTCCATCAAAAGGGTCACACTCCCCAGCCATCATGGAGAGCACCATCTCCTAGGTCCCACACACAGTTATCTGATCATGTCCCAAGTACTGGTGATAACACGTCTTCTTTCCCATACTCTTAGGATCCTGTATTGTACCTGTATGTAGGGACATTCTGACTTCCAGAGTCTGTGAAAAGTGTTACCTTTGTTGTGTGAAGGACTGCAGGAACTCTGGGGGGACTGGTGCCTCCTCTCTCTCAATTCGTCTCTCCTCTCTGCACCCCAAGAGAGCTCACTAGAGACGGTGGCTTCAGAGTAACTGAAAGTTTTCATGTGTCTTTGCTAGGAATTTGTGCTCACCATCCCAGCTGCCCCACACACCCATGCAAAGGTGATGGAAATGGGGTGGTCCTTGAGTCCCCAAGATACAGATGTCTTCAGCGTGAGTAGAAGCTACGTGTGTTTATTGGATGCAGCTAGTGCTGGAGAAAGTTTCTGTCAGAGGGATCCAACTCCAGCCTGGAATGGCAGAGTTGAGGGGGCAAAGGCAAGTGTGGGGAAGCCCTTGTCTCTGGATTTGTCCTTAAGACATTCCAGGAGCCAGAAAACAAAAGTGTTTCATTTGTTTTGCTGTGGTGTGTGTGTGTGTGTGTGTGTGTGTGTGTGTGCATCTGTGTGTATGTGTGTGTGTGTGTGTGTGTGTTGGAAGCCTGGTAAGACAGCCCAGGTTCCAATACCCTGGGTATTAGCCTGTCTCCCACTCTAAGGCCTGCCTATTCTGGGTGTTGTCTCTCTTCTCCGTTCTTTACTCACCTCAACCCCAACACTGAAGAGCACACAGGCTCTCTGCCCTCTGGGGCTGCTCATGTCTCTACTCTTGTTCCATGGACTCCAGGTAGGTCCCCAGTCTCTGACTTTGCAGTAATCCAAGCCTGGGCCCATTTCTTCGTCTTTTCTGTCCCCAAGACCAAAATGCCAATCGATTATTGAAGCTCCAAGAAGTTGAGCTATGAGCTTGCACTTAGGACATCTTGGTGTAGCTATACCTGGAAATCGCTTCCTACTTACTAAATGACCATTTGGTGCTCTGGGCTTGGGGATGGTTGGATTTGAAGTCAAGGGATTAGGGGGGATTTGTGGGAGGGGCTAGTAGAGGGAAAGAACAGATTTTAAATTCAACCAGCCAGTTTATCAGTGAGGCCTTGAGTGAACCCCTTTCCCCATGACCCTGCTTCCCTGTCTGGAATAGCTGTGGAGATGGAGGGGCCTTGGGAATCCAGGGAAGCCTTTTGGTGATCTGGACAGCCATGCTGGATGCTGCCTCTAGTCCAGCAGGGTGTTCTTCTCCAGGTTGTTTGGCCTCCTCTTGCTGGCCTCTGGTACTAGAACCCAGTGGATTTGTACCCAGGGGTGGTCTTTCAGCTTGTGTGGACCAATGTCACACACTGGTGGTTGGGGGCAGTCTGGGAGCAGAGAGAGGGTAATGTTGTGACCCATCGCTGCTAGGAGTGTCACAGCAGCCAATGCAGATGTCTTTCTCTGGATACCTATCCAGCCCAGGTTCCCTGGGAAAAGCTGGGGCCTGAGACTGGACTACATGTTTAAACAGCCCCTTCCTTTCCAGAGGGCTGCTCTTCTGGCTCATTTCATCGGCCACTGAGAAGGGAAATCAGGAACATTTGTGTGAGCCCAGCTGGGACCCCACAAAGAGAGCTCAGAATCCAGCACTTGGTCCAAGAAATGATGATGCCAACTGATCAGTGGCTCTGCAACCTGATACTCTCAGGCAAACATGCCAGCTTGGGTTCCTCCTGCTCTGAAGGCTGGCACCTTGGAGTAAACTCAGTGTTCCAGCAGATGAGTGGGACAATCACAAGTGCTTTTTTTTTTTTTTTTTTTAAGGAAAGACAGATTGAGATGAGATGGTGAGTCCCAAGTCTGCAGCTCACACAGCCAGGCTTTCAGTGGGGGAGGGGTGGGGGAGTGGGGGGGGGTCCTTGATTATTCTGCTCTCTCAAGCCTAGACTTCTGGGTCAGACATAAGCAGGAACAGATTCATGAGTGAGTTTTGTGTGCACACCCAGAGATTAGTTGCAGTAGAGTAGATAACCCAGAGAACCAGGAATTAGGAATCCTGATCTGTCATAGTTGAGGCTGTGTGGCCTCAACTAAGTCACTGCCCTTTCTGAGCCTCAGGCTCTCTATTTGTTTAGAAAAATCACTGCATGGTGATAAGAGTACCTGGGCTTAAATGCTGTCCATTCTGCCTGTCAATCATGTGACTTTAGGTTACTCAACTGGTGTCTTCTATTTTCTATAAAGTGGAAATAGCAATGCCTCCCATCATCAGACTTTAGTTGATCCCCAGTGAGATAATCCTAGTAAAATACTTTGTCCTGTAGCTAGCACACAGCAAACACTGTTATCTTCCCATTGTAGTTTAGGGAAGGAAGACAATGGGAATAGGTTGGTTGTTCAGTTGTTTTCTCTCCTTCTTACCTCACTGGGGCAATATATTTCTTGGTGGTTATTTTTATACTAGCCCTGTCCCTGTTGCAGGCTATAGCCAATGTAGTGTCTAATCCCTTGGCCATTATCTGCCATTCTTGCCCCCTCCACTCTGCTTCCTATCCTAACTGGGTAACCAACACTGCCCGTGCTGATGAGAAACTGGCCTGATGAACAGTTTCCAAAATCACCCCAACCATGGGCTCTTCTAAAACCCTTTGAGCTTTCAGATAAATGCTTTTGGGCTCTGTGGGTTGCGTTTTCCCCAGCTGACCCTGAGTCCCTTTTTGGATGGGGGCTGGGCCAGGTCTGAAATCTGCAAAATGGGGCTATGTTCACTGACCTGTCTAGGGAAGCTTCCTCAGGCTGCTCGAGTTGGGGGGGGCAGTCCAGGGCACACCTATGGCTCTTCCCCAGAAAGGCTGTTGCTCTAGGTGATCTTGACAGAGGTATAGACACTGTGAGACTGTTCCTATGAGTCAGGGCTAGACTATATCCTGTCCTTGTCTCTTAACTAGAGGCTTTAGCTATTGTTCCCATTTTACAGGTGGGAGAATATGGCTCTGAAAAAAATGGAGTCAGAAGTGAGGCTGGGATTTGAGATTAGCTCAGCTTGGCTCTTCATCCTCTGTGCAGTCACTGGGTGGTGCTGCTCCCTGTGACCCCCAGAGCCCCAGTAAGGATCTTTGAAATTAAGTCATACAATACCCCTATCCCTACACACATATGCTTTTAACCATTCTTGCTCAGGGTGCCTACTGAGAATCCCTCCTTTTCATCTTGCATATATCCCTTAGCCACCTTAGGGACAGGTGGGTTAAAAAGTTTGGGGACATGGTTGCTCATGGGAGGGGAACAGTCTAAGGAAGCAACAAAGGGCTGTGACAGGAAGAGGAGCGTTGCTGGCCTGGGTCTGCAATTGTCTTGTTGTTGTGGTGTGACCTCTAATTCCTTATCTGTGAGAATCAGGATGATGACATTTGTGTTCTGTTAAGCTGAGTGACACTAGCTGCTGCAGCTCAACACCAAATCTCCATGCCTGATACTTTAGACCCCTACTTGCTCATCTGCTTGGCCTGGCCTCCATCTCTGCTTTTTATGGTACTTGGGATGGTGACCCTGGCGTGTATATGGCTCTTCTGAACCATGCAGGTAGCACTAAGTCACTACAGAAGGAGAAGAGGATGGTAGGAATGCCAGCAGACACTCCATGTTTCAGCAGGAGATGGTATATACCACTCAGCTCTGGTACATTGGCCAGATCTGTCACCTGGTCCTAACCAGCCACAAGGGCATCTAGACCCACAAGGAAACTCCAGCTTGGCATTGGCATTAGCAGAAGAGTGCTGAGATGAACATTCAAGCCTCCGTGGGATGACTG